CAGAAGAGCATATGATTTAGTCGTTGTCTGTGCTTTGTTCTTGCCAAGGATTTGGTTTTGGCCTTTGGATTTTTTACTTCTCTGTGTCTGTGTGTGTGTGTTTTGGGGCTGACAAAAGACCAAAGCCCCACAGCCTGATGACTGGGGACCAGCTAAAGCCTCTGAGTTAGATAGACAGCCAAACAATTGCTGTTTGTATCCTGTTAGCTCCCCCCTCCCGCTCTGGCTGCTCTACAAATTAGTTTCTAATACCTTCAAGTCAAACAGTGGAGGCCAACAGACAAACAAATAAACGCAGTCGGAGACTGAGTCTGAGTCGGAGACAGAGTCTGAGGAAGAGTCTGAGTCGGAGTCTGAGTCTCAGTTTTAGCCGCAGTTTCGGGTTCGAGTCTTTGTGTTTGCGGCACGGATCTTGCCTCTTGCCACCAGCTAGCCGCAAACACTAGTTAACAAAATCACTTAAGCTTGGCATGTGCATCCAACTCTTCCTCTCTCTCTCTCCCCCTCCCTCCCCCCCCTCTCTCTCTCCCTTCTCTCTGTGTTGTCTAATTACAAGCAACCGTCCGATTGATTTGCAGTAAATTGTGTTTTAAATAGTTTCCATTTAGTTTCGCTTAAAAATTCGACTACAAAGCAGCTGCTGCTCGCTATAAAGATTGCGTAATGATGCGGTCACTCCCCCTCCCCCTCTCCCACCACGCCCCATCAAGCATGTGGTCTCTTAATGAGCTCTATCTGCAGCCCGTCTGCTTTTACCTTCTGTGCGTATTTTGGTTATTTTTTGAGTCGAAAGTTTTTAAATTAAATTTTAATTGTTTATTGCAACGCAAAGTTAAGTCAAACACATCCTTTTTGTGTACTAAACTCTAGTTTGCGATTCAATTAAAGCCCTGCTAAATATGGCTTGAAAGCGGCTAGAATACAAATTGAGTTCGGGCTAATACAATTGTGCTGCCTCCTGGAGCTTGACCTTGACTCAAGAGCCTCACAAATATGTCTACATACATACATATTTATTCATAATTTTGACAGCCGACAATAATAAGCTACAAATGTCGGGTTGGCGGAGGGAGGGCGGGGGTAATGCCGTAAACTACCAGACCCTATGGGCATTACGAGCGACATTTGCATAACATCGCCCAAAGAGTTGATGACAGAGGACGATGACAGGGGGAGGGGAGGGGAGCAGCGCGTTTAAATCAAAAAGTTGGCACAATGAAAGCAACGGCAACTGCTTAATAAAAGAAAATTATGCAAATTGCTAATGAATTATAGTGAGCCAGCGAACGACATGTAAAATAATAACCGGCGAGTGAAAGGAACAAGAAATCACAATTTTACCCTAGAGCACCGAATATTATATACCCTTGCAGAGGCACTTACAGCTGAAGTGGGATATGTTTATATGTCTATATCTATGATTTATGCAAGACTGAAAAAGGGAATTCCAGTTTTTAATTTACAAACTAAATAAACTAATATACAAATTGAAAATTGCGACTGAATTTGAACCAGCGACCTTTCGTTTTGACAACTAAATCACACTTGAACCAGAAGCTGAGTGAATGAAGGGAACCTCAAGGCGAGGATCGAACTCCCGAAAATTTATGTTGGGTTAACATTGAGGCTCAGTGTTGGGAGAGTCGAAGAGCTTGTAATTGCACGCTTGAACCAAAAGCTGGGGAGCCTCAAGGCGAGGCACTGGTTCGAGTCGAGAGCCGAACTATAGAACAGGAGAGTAGAGGAGCTCGAAATGGCACAGCTGGGCAGAGCTATTCAATATCTAGAAAATCAATTGGAAATAGTTCCATTGCAACTATCTATGATATCATATCGAGCTATGGGATCAAAGTGTTACACATTTTGTGAGAAAATTATAATACTCTCTCGGCAAGGGTAAGCCGAAAGAATCGGACTGCAGCTGGAAGAGGAACAGGAGCTGTCGCTGGTGGCGAGCGGGCGAATTGAATTATAAATGTAAGCACAATGCCATGGAACCGAATGGTGGGCAGAACCGAAGAGTTCCGGGGTCGATGTTGATATGGACACAACGGCGCTGAAAAATCATTAAAATAATAAAGCGCTGTATGGCTTCGAAGACGCTGTCGTCGGAGGTCGGGCCAGACGCAGGACGAGCTGGCATTAACTGGCGAATGGATAATGGGCGAAACTTTCTGACATTTATTGTGTTTTTGTGTCGAATGTTTATTTATGATTGCATGTCGCGTATTTATATTACAATGGCCATAACTAACGTCCCAGCATATCCCTGACTATGCGTATCCCTGTGCGTATGCGTATTAAATTAATGATGCTTTCTAGTTCATAAAATTCGTTATGTGACCAGAGAGTCGGAAGCGGCGACGGGACCGGGACGGGACTCGGCGTCGAGTCGCTGAATGTCAACGTCAAACACACAAATCAAATAATCACATAAATGAGAGCACATGCGCGCAAACACACGCGCACACACACTCAGGCACACACATGTTGGTCGTGTCTATTGAATTGTAACAAATTGATTGTCATAAAACATCGTTTATATTATATTAAAATGTGTCATTGGTTGTTCATGCTTCAGTTCAGCCAACAAAACCGCCGTCTAAAACTCTCAGCCGTTGCACAAGAATTCACAAGTGGCGCTTTGAATGATTGCGATAAAGATGCTAACCAGTGTTGCCAAATTCTCTAATTTCCCGTCAAATCTAGCTTAGGTAATAATGTTTGCGAGTTTCGGCTGGATTTTTTAGTCTTACAAAATATGCATACAAAATATTTGATATCTCTTAATGCGTACTTTTACTTTTTATGCATTTAATTATTTATTAGCAGTGTAGTTAAACGCTTAACTAATTATGAAACGTTTTACTACACTGCCAACACATTTTTAAAGTAAAAGAAAAATTTCCAAACATATTTACAAAAATACAAACTAAAGAAATATTCTGTTATTCAAGACTTTTACTCAAAGAAAATTATGTAAAATATTTAACAGGTCTTAACTAATTTTTTAAGAGTTTTACTACACTGCCAATACATTTTTAAAAAATGAATATATTTCATAATATATTTACAAAAATACAAAATAGCGAAAAATATTTTTATTCAAGACTTTTTTAAATGCATAAAAAAAAAATGTAAAATATTGAACAGCTATCATACTCTATGCAAAAAGCTTGCCAAGCTTGAGCTGTATACATCTTTTAGAGTTTCACAACACTATCATTGAAGTAAGCGAAAGTACTGTCGAAATAGTTAATATCTTAGATACATGAAGTATTGAATATACAGAAGAGTGGCGATTTTTTTGCATATACAAATATTGTTGCTTTAAGTTTTCCCTGCCGGAACTGCCTTATTGGCCCTCCAAAAAGTTGGCAGCACTGTTGTGTAACGGTGCTTAAGATTTTCGGCCTGAGTTTAGGTGCAGATGGGTGCGATAGTTGCCGCCTGAGCCGAGACTAAACAGAATTTATGACTGTTTACGACAGATTGCACACTCCATTTGTTTTGTTTACCACATTCTCTTTGGCACACTTGACACACTTCCCCAAGAACCTTGACGAGAGCAACTTTTTCGGGGGGGGGGGGGGCGAATTCGGGTCTCGTCTTTGTCTCTGTCTCCTTTAATTAGTTGCCGTATTGGGCCGCTTGGGGCGCTGCTTTAGCAGCTGTGCCAGTGCAAAAAGTGCCCAACATCATATGCATGATTTGTGAAAAACTTTTAACTGTCCCCCGCCATTCGACAGGAGTGGGAGAGGGAGAGGGAGAGGGAGCAGACCCTGGCAAGCTGCCGCCAGGCAGCCTGTTTTGGCCAAGTTTATGAATTTCATAGCCAAAGTTTTTCGCCAACGCATAAAACATGCGCACAATTTGTAAGCTGCTGTTGTCGTTATTTGCCTGCGACTACTTTTTGCAAAGAATCTTTGATATCCTTCTGGCACTAACTGGATTTACAAGCCAGCCATTACCGAGTTACTCTCCCAGTTCGCTCAATTAGCTGATAAAACTCATGTACGCAGTATTTTTGGCATATGTACGTCATGATATCATCAAACACAAAACAGACATAAACACGAGCCACAAGCGACCTTTCTAGACAAGCTCCAGCATGGCCAGTTCGTTGAACTGTATATATCGTAGTACGCAAATTACCGATACCCAAGACTTGAGAGCCAACATTAAATCAAGTTGGAGTACTCGAGTCGGAAGTGCCCAAACAAGGGGATACCCTGAACCCAGCTTCGAGCACGCCGGGAAATCAATTTGTGATTATCTTCGATGTTTACAGTGCGATCTTGAAGACCTAAATCTGCGTATACTATTCCCAAGTTAAATGTAGAATTTATTATTTGAATCTCACTTAAAAACAAATGCCTCAACATCGATATTTGTCGTTATTATAAAAGGTGTGAAAGCTATAAAAGAAAGACAAAATATAAGGGAATCTATATTTATTCAAGTCTCCAGCTTTTGTAGCTTCCAACATAGACATAGAAAGACGAACGGACCCAATTTATATACTTAATTGATTCGGTTTTGCTTCCTCTCCCAGTTACATACACGTGCACGTAAACATTATACCCATCCCACCAATTTGAAACGGATTGAGGGTATATTAAAATACTCTCATGACAATAGAGATCACGCCGAAAGACTTGCTGTCATTAAAATCTTAGATATTATTATTTTTTTTGCATTAAATCTTATTATATGCGGTATCTTGACCGTGAAACATTCGAAAGCGAAACAATGTATTCAGTTCCGCTCTGCCTAGGCGCGAACCGGCTTCCAAGCCACGAGCAGCCGGGGCAATAGGGGCAATAGGGGCACGGGCACGGGCACGGGCACTTGAGGCCCTAAGTGGGCACCATGTGCGAGCATTTGGCTTGCAAATGCTCCGACTTGTCTTAATGACCACAGTTGGGCTGCTGCTGTTGCCGGGTGTTTTGTTGCTATTTCGAGAGCGGGGCAAACAAAGTGTCGGTCATTGTTTGGTTTTTGTTGTGTGTTTATGCGCTGCTTAGCAAACATTAGAGCGTATAAATATTGCGGCAAATTGCGACTATTAATCATTCGACCCATAGATTCCATCGATAACACAATTAGCTTTGGAGATCTATACCAAAATGGTAGGTAGCCAAGGATTACCCCATCAGGATTATCAGGCCGTCATCTTACATCCCAACCGTTCCACCTTATTCCAGAAACTCTTCATTGCGTGCATGTTTATTGCCGCAGCGACGGCTGCAGTGATTCCTGTCGAACAAGCCAGGCACCGTCGTGATGTCTCCGAGATCGTGAATGAGTATATCCCACCATTGGAGGAAGTTGGCACCGATGCTCTCCCTGAGAACGTCGCCGAAGGCCCCACCGCTGTAGGAGAAGATGGTTACCGCTACAAAACAGTTCGTCGTCTGAAGTATCGTCAACGTCGCGATGTATCCGAGATTGCCAACGATTATCTGCCTCCTTCGGAGGAAGTGGCCACAGAGGTTCCCGTTGAGGAAGTCGCCCAGGATTTCGGTGTTCTTGGAGATGATGGCTACCAATACAAGACTGTCCGTCGTTTGAAATACCGTCAACGCCGCGATGTCTCAGAGATTGCCAATGAGTACCTGCCCCCTTCGGAAGAGGTTGCTTCCGAATCCCCAGTTGAGGAAGTCGCGCAAGATTCCGCTGTTCTTGGAGATGATGGCTACCAATACAAGACTGTCCGCCGCCTGAAGTATCGTCAACGCCGTGATGTCTCGGAGATTGCCAACGATTACCTACCTCCATCCGAGGAAGTGGCCACAGAGGTTCCCGTTGAGGAAGTCGCCCAGGATTCCGCTGTTCTAGGAGATGATGGCTACCAATACAAGACTGTTCGTCGCCTGAAGTATCGTCAACGTCGCGATGTCTCCGAGATTGCCAACGATTACCTACCTCCATCCGAGGAAGTGGCCACAGAGGTTCCCGTTGAGGAAGTCGCCCAGGATTCCGCTGTTCTCGGAGATGATGGCTACCAATACAAGACTGTTCGTCGTCTGAAATACCGCCAACGTCGTGATGTCTCAGAGATTGCCAATGAGTACTTGCCCCCTTCGGAGGAGGTCGCCACTGAGGTACCAGTTGAGGAAGTAGCCCAAGATTCCGCTGTTCTCGGTGAAGATGGTTACCAATACAAGACCGTCCGTCGTCTGAAGTATCGTCAACGTCGCGATGTCTCAGAGATTGCCAACGATTACCTGCCCCCTTCGGAAGAGGTTGCTTCCGAAGCCCCAGTTGAGGAAGTCGCGCAAGATTCCGCTGTTCTTGGAGATGATGGCTACCAATACAAGACTGTCCGTCGTCTGAAGTATCGTCAACGCCGTGATGTTTCCGAGATTGCCAACGATTATCTGCCTCCTTCGGAGGAAGTATCCACTGAGGTTCCAGTTGAGGATTTAGCCCAGGATTCCGCTGTTCTTGGAGATGATGGCTACCAATACAAGACTGTCCGTCGTCTGAAATACCGCCAACGTCGTGATGTCTCAGAAATTGCCAACGATTACCTACCTCCATCCGAGGAAGTGGCCACTGAGGTTCCCGTTGAGGAAGTCGCCCAGGATTCCGCTGTTTTCGGAGATGATGGCTACCAATACAAAACTGTCCGTCGCTTGAAGTACCGCCAACGCCGTGATGTCTCCGAGATTGCCAACGATTACCTGCCCCCTTCGGAAGAGGTTGCTTCCGAAGCCCCAGTTGAGGAAGTCGCGCAAGATTCCGCTGTTCTTGGAGATGATGGCTACCAATACAAGACTGTCCGTCGCTTGAAGTACCGCCAACGCCGTGATGTCTCAGAGATTGCCAACGATTACCTACCTCCATCGGAGGAAGTAGTTACTGAGGTTCCCGTTGAGGAAGTCGCTCAGGATTCCGCTGTTCTCGGAGATGATGGCTACCAATACAAGACTGTCCGTCGTCTGAAATATCGTCAACGTCGCGATGTATCCGAGATTGCCAACGATTACCTACCTCCATCGGAGGAAGTAGTTACTGAGGTTCCAGTTGAGGAAGTCGCTCAGGATTCCGCTGTTCTCGGAGATGATGGCTACCAATACAAGACTGTCCGTCGTCTGAAATACCGCCAACGTCGTGATGTCTCAGAGATTGCTAATGAGTACTTGCCCCCTTCGGAGGAAGTAGTTACTGAGGTTCCCGTTGAGGAAGTCGCCCAGGATTCCGCTGTTCTCGGAGTTGATGGCTACCAGTACAAGACTGTCCGTCGCCTGAAGCTGCGTCATCGTCGTGCCTTGTGAGCGCGCCAGCTGTTGCCTGCCTGTATACGATTAGAACCGTTTAGCCCCACCAACTCCTATTAGGACGTAAGTAAGGAACCTGTTTTGCCATTATTTAACGATTGAAATCAACGAAATAAATCCAACGAAAATTGTTATAATGTACACACGTCGTGGGTCGTTCTTTGTTCCAAGCGGACACACCTGTCGGTGGAAGCCGCCAGTTGGCCAGAAGTGCTCGACGTTTTCATAAATTGTATACCTTTTCGCTTAGTTATGACAGCAACAGTTAAGCTCATGGCTCAGCGCACAAGAACGCAATTATCCAAAGGCGACGGCAGCAAAAAGGACTCGGGAACTGGGACTGGGACCGGGACTGCGTCGGACCGCGCCTTAGTCCAGGGAACTTCAACGAACTCTAACAAATACTTTAAGCTATGCTTTTGAAGATGTTAATCTCATGTCAAGTCCACTTTACACACAACGTTAAGGGTTCGGACCCCGCACAACATGGCTAACGAGGACAAAGTCGCCCATTGATTTGGGTGGGAGTATGTGTGTGTCGATGTGTCTGTGTGTGTGTGGTGTTTGGTGTTGGCAGAAAAAGTTGTTAAGTTAAAAGGCATTTGAACCACAGCGGCCAGGATTTCGGTCAGCGCGCCTTTCGGGTCTAACAACTTCCTCCACACAGCGCACCCAGCGACCGGCCAACTAATAATAATTTATCGATCCCCCAGCTAAAGTAGTCACATACGTGGTCCTCCCTATGATTTATGGCGTCCGCCAACGCGCGCCTCTGTGTGTGTGTGTGTGTGTGTGTGTGTGGGCGTGCCTGAAAACAAACTCAGCCCAACCAAGGTGCCAGGCAGTCCGACAGCCGCACGGAAGGGCTGTGGGGCAGCGGGTGGGTCAGCGCAGTGCCAAATTGGTTTAATGTGTGGTTAGACAACTTATTTAACGTTTTTCAAGTGGTTAGCAAAGGAGATGGGCAAGTTTTAAGTCGTGGCACGATGGGCTAGTGCTGTAAAGCTCTGTTTCCTATCTATTACCCATCTTCCATGCGAGTCCTCTCAGGCCCCTTACCTTGCCGAGTTTTGCAGCTGCCTCGAGAACAAAAGTATAAACTTAATATCATATTTAATGGTATCTGAAAAGCTCTATTTCCTGGGTCTTCCATGCGAATCCTCTGAAACCTTACCTTCAATTCTTAAACCCGACCCGAGCTCCCCAGCTGCCTCGGGTATCGGGTTTTTTCCAACTTTAAGCACGTTTAAGGACTGCAGGTATTAATAGATTATTATTTCTTAAATATAAACAAAATATCATTTAAAATGGTATCTAAAAAGTTTAGTTTCGTGTTTGTGTTGGGCCGTGCCGTAAAAACTCAAACCGCGCTCATCTCTACTCGGCAGGGACAAGTGTGCTTAGCAGCTCTCAGGTGGCCCAGACGGTCACATTTCGTTTTCTATCATGCAATGCCAAAGAGACGGGTTACCCATTTCTATACAAACCGTGCGCCGATATGCATATATAGTTAGAGACTAGACCGGAGGGGGAGGGTTGGCACTGAGATATGCTCGTAAATTAAAGGGCGCTATCAAAGGCGACGTTATGACATCATTAAAGCAATTATCAATGGTGAATTATAAGCGCCTGATAGCTTGAGGGTGGGCAAGAGATCTGAAGAGCAAACTATTTTAATGGCCTTGGGAAAAATATGCGAACTTCAAAGCGGAAATCACATAAAACTTTATGAATTATTTCAAATATTTTCAATTACTCGAACGCCAGTCGAGGGTCGAGTGTCCACAGTCCACAGTCGACAACCGCCAGTCAATAGCCGCCAGTCACCCCAGTTAGACAAATGGAGGAGCATAAAAAACCGCATAAAGAAATTTATGCGCCATTCAAGCGTGGAGCATTAACACATCCTCATTCCTAACAAGAAGCTGGCTGAAGTTGACTGCATAAACAGCGCAATGAAAGTGAAAATACGAGTCTCGTAATGTGCGCCCAAAAGCAACTGCTCCAATATTTAGCTTGATTAAAATTCAAAAGGTCTTAAGTTCAAAAACCGAAGCAAAGTTTTTTGTTTTTTTCATGCTATGCCCTTCCCTATTCCCAGTGAAAGTGAGCACAAGGGGAATATTGTGGAAAAAGTGAAAAGCATATATTTACTTGAGTCAAACTAGCCGGAGAGTAAAGCAGCGAGCATGTTTGGAATACAATATCTCGTATCTTCCTCGGCTCGTCGAATTCGTTAAATATGTATCTTTTCCCTAAAATATATCTATGAGTTTGCGAGTCTCCATTTAACTTATTCGCCAGCTCAGTAAATCGATAAATGTCGATCTTGAGCCTCTTTACCATAAAATATATCTTTCGGCTTGCGATTCTCCAGGCTTGGTTTTTGGTCTTTTAAAAAAGTATTTAAAGAATACGAATACTTAACTGATTCCCAAGCTTAGTAAATCGATAAATATCGATCTTCAGTTTCTTTCCCCTTAAATATCTCTGAGTTTGCGAGTCTTCAGACTTGGTTTGTATTCTATTAAAAACAGTTTTCAAAGAACAGCAATATTTAACTTATTCTCCAACTTACTAAATCGATAAATATCGTTATTGAGGCTATTTACCCCAAAATATCTCTCAACGTGCGAGTCTTCAGATTTGGTTTGTGGTCTTTTAAAAAAGTATTTAAAGAACAGTAATATTTAACTTATCCCCTGCTTAGTAAATCGATAAATATCGATCTTAAGCCTCTTTACCATAAAATATATCTTTCGGCTTGCGAGTCTCCAGTCTTGCCTTGTGGTCTTTTAAAAAAGTATTTAAAGAACAGCAATATTTAACTTATTCCCCTGCTTAGTAAATCGATAAATATCGATCTTGAGACTCTTTCCCCCAAAATGTCTCCCAGTTTGCGGTTCTCCTGACTTGCCTTGTGGTCTTTTAAAGAAGTATTCAAAGAACAGCAATATTTAGCTTATTCCACAGCTTAGTATTTGTTACAGGGTATTCTTCTAGTCGTGCACTATCAATAGAAGCAAAATTGCTTGAATTTTGTTGTTGCTGCTTTAAGCCATAATTCAGCATTTATGGCATCATTATCACAAATGCCGAGGGCGATCTAATAAGCAACACTGTATGTCCCCCTCTTCGTCAGCCAGGCACGAAAATCAATTTTGAGCAGCTCAGCTCGCTGATTAGCTGCCGCCTGCACATGCAAATAAGCAGGGGGATCTGCTGCTGGCCAGCTTGGAGGAGGGGGCTGAGGGGATGCTGCTGTTGCAGCTGCCATTACTATGCTATGTAAGCCCGGACATGGCCAGGACGTGCTGGACCGTGCTGCAGCCGAACAACTTTATGGCCACAATATAATTTATTCAATGCCATTTGGCGTTCGGGGTGCACAGCACATGACAAGCAATTGACATTTTTGTGACTTTTGAAAACTATAAAATGTGCAGCTCAGCCATACAACACAGGCCACAACAAACCGGGCCAGGCCAAGGCAAAGGCAAAGGCAAAGGCAAGGCGTAATGATGACGGCCATAAAGACCACAACAGCGTGTGGGCCAGACGCGGTGCGGCAAAGACTGCGCATAGAGCTGGTTTGGGGGCATAAAAGTAACCCATACAAAACAAGTTGGCAGGGTTCGACTAGCAGATACCCTCAGTAGCCACAAATATGCCCAAGAGCGCGTCCAAGCTGCGCACTTTTTCCATTTTTCCTACACTTAATATAGGAAAATCATTTTTGATTTACTTCGGTGCTCATAGTCCGATCTTTAGTGGAATTTAATGGACTTAAATATTTTGTTGTTTTTTTTTCCATTTAATTTATTTAGTTGGGCCCTAAATATGGAAAAAGTGTGTATAATACAGAGGACATGGCTATAGCTTTAAGCTTCGTCTAATTTTGGGGGAATAGGTGGAATATGTTTTCCAAAAAGTAAAGCAGTTTTTATTTGTATATTCCACAAGAATATCTAGACAATAATTTTGATGTATCTGGCTATACTTTTCGAGTCTTGTTAATCAAACCAAATCTCCAAAAAGATAATTAACAACATTTGGAAATGGAAAAAGATACGGAAAGAAAAGATAAAACAGTTCAAAGTATGGCATGGGAGAATATATATATTTATTAAATTTCCAGCGCAAAATAAAACAAATTAAATTGAAAAAAATATATTTATTTTATTAATATATATACATATATATATATCGATTTTCAAGTCTGTTTCTGTTTCCGAGACAGACTGAGGGACACGGCTAGATCGACTTATTGTATATATATATACATATTATATATATATATATATATATTCTTTAGGTGCTTCCTTTCGCCTGTTGCATATTTTTGCACAAAACTATGATGCCCTTTTAAGCCGTTTCCAATGGACTTAGGGTATGAAAAAACATTTGTTGTTCGACAAAATAATAAAGTTGTGCTTGATTATGTTTGTGTTGGTGCCGCACGCTCTCTCTCTCTCTCTCTCTCTCCCCCCTCTCTCTCTCTCTCTCTCACTCTGTGGAGTAAGAAGTAAATACCAGATACCAAATACGACAACTAAACTAAAATTGTCAGCATCATATGTAACAGGACTTACAGCACATTACATATCCCGCCCACGACTACAAGGTCCAGGACCCCAAGGACAAAGACCAAGACCAAGACCACGACGAGGACGACGGAGACGACGTTGACGTTGACGTTGGCAGCGACGCCCATTCTCTGCTGCAGCAGTTGCTCCAGTTCGCCGCCATTTGTGCTGCCCGTCAACGGCAATGGCCGTATGCCGGATATCCTTTTTGACATGTCATTAAATTTTATATACACAATAATTTTTCACAATTTGCTTTATGGCCACTTTTAAGAGTCTGTCCGATGTGTGCGTTGAATATATTATATATGTCACTTATAAAGAGTGCCAAGCGAACAACAGCAATAACATGCTGAATTTATTGAAAATAGACTTGGCCAGAACCTCTCTCCCTCTCTCAGACAGCCTTCAAGCAGGAGTTGAAGGATATACACACTCAAACCTGACAAGTTTTCTTTCTTTGAGAGCTCATTAAGGTAATTGTTTGATAGAACTCCTGTTCAG